ATTATCTCCACGTTTTAGTGCTGCAGGTAAGGTGGTTGTGTACCTTGCTTGGGTCAGTGGGACCTCATTAATTAAAGACAGAAATCACTGAGAAATCCTCAGGCAAAAGAAGATACAGTGTAGAAGCCCAAAGCGTTGAGGACACTCAGGCTCTGGGCCATTTTTGCCAAATCTTGAAGCTTAGTTTATGTGGAATTCACTTGATTCATTCTGTTTTCATGATATGTTTAAAAACTAAGTTTAAACCATCATCATATATTACTAAAACAAAAAAGTATAAGTCAATCTGTTTTGTTTTTTTAAGAAGAGATGAATTTTATTTATAATGAATTCTCATAAGGAGTACTAAGATCATTTTAGTTAGGAAACATTACAGTGATTAATGCATAGTTGTTTGCATTTTAATACTTGATTTATAGATCAGATCTGTATTTGTGCACAATGTCAAACTTTATTCTGTTCTTGTCAAAATACTTATTACTGCTGACAGGTATAACATGCTCACATTAATCCTTAATTCCTTGATTCAATTTTCTAATTGCTTTTTTGGCATGAGTTTTGGAGCCATTTAGTCTTATGTGATCTATTCGTCTTATGGCATAATAATGCACTTTTAAAAATTAGATGCACCTAACTTAGAATGCTGAGCAGAAAATGTATATAGATATTACTTAGCACTTAAAATCTGAAGTTTTATAGCACTTCTGTGAGACACCACTTCTTGGAATACAGATAGAGCCGAAAACGCTTTACACATTTCATCTTCCTGTATTGACAGTATTAAATATTTTCATATGAATATGAAATTAATATTTCCATATAAATATTTTCATTGATAGATAGGATTGGGTGCTAAAGTTTCTTTGTGTTTCCTCCAAAGAGATTCTGAACCCTATAGCAGATCCATGTGCAGCCCCTTAGTCATTATTGTGTTCTGCTCTGCTCACCTCTTTCTGCCTTCTGCTGCCCGTCCTGCCCACCAAGAGCAACAGAACAAACTTCCCAGCTTCTCCTTGGTCTGGACTCTTCAAGCTTCTCATTTGTGTTACTCCTAAACAGCCAAATAACACAATGCAAGTTTGCTGGGTTTTTCAATACTTATATTTCTGCCAAAAAAGCACAAATAACAAGCACAGCGTTAATAAAATTTTATCACTAGAAGACAGAATAAACCAATACTTCTTTATTTAACCCTTACTCCTGTATTTCCCCTTCTTATACACACTATGACAGAAAGAGGTATGTTCGGAAGGTGAAAAAGAGTTAAAGAAGTATTTGTTTATTCTGTCTTTCACTGATAAATTTTTATTAACGCTGTGCTTGTTTTGTGCTTTTTTGGCAGAAACGTAAGTCACTTTCTGTACAAGGGAAAAAAAAATATAATCCAAGCAAGTAAATCACGGTCACTAAGTGCTTTGAGCAAACAAACATGTGCCTTATCTCTTCCAAAAAACCGGTGGAAAATGCATGATAAATGGAACATTTCAGAGAACATGTTATGTCACTGAAATAATTTGCTTCATGGTTGTGTGTTTATCTTGAAAAAACTGACAAACCTTAGGGTATCTAAATTATTATCATTTGCTCTATATTTCTGTGATTTGTTTTCTGGTGAGTCTTAGTGATGTGAGGTAGGATAAGACATCTGCTTTTTCAGTCATAATGTTCTATAAAGAACAAATAAGCAAAAATACAAATTTCTTACTGTATTTGATTTTTGGATGATGTCCTCTGAAAAATATTTATAAGAAACAATTTCCTTCAATTGTGTTTTGAAAAGCATTAGTATAAACTTCAAAGAGAAAAGGACAAGGCCTGCTAATAAAAGGTTTTATATTAAACAGCAATAGAAAATATAACCATTTTGATTTTTAATAAAGTAATTATTCACAAAATTAAAAGGCATAATGGTAACTTTGTTTCATTCAGTTGTTTGCATAAACTGTGTTCTGAATTACATTTTTTAATGAAGATTTCATTTTTTCTGCCTTTTCAAACAGAAAGGAACCACATTATTTGAATTGCTGTTGTGACACATCAGGAAAGATGACTTAAATGCTCTGTTGCTTGCATTAGTAATGACAACTATTTTAATTGCAAATGCTCTATAAAAATTCAGGTGCTGTTGTTCTAATATACAGTGGAAAAAGGTGTATGATGCCCAGTACAATGGCATTTATTTGTAAAATCTCTTAATCATATTTGTGGGTGCATAGGAGTCCCTGATTAGCCACCTCCCCAGTCAATGGCACTCTGTCCATGGACATGAAGAGCACCTGGTCTTCTCCGTTCTCAGCTCCCATTGCAGGAACTTGCCTGGAGCTGGAAAGTCTGTCTTGCACAGAAGATGCAGGAGCAGGGCCAGCACAGGATGAGGGAAGCACAGGGTCTAAATGAGAGAGACGTTACTTACATGGAGCTACATCCCCGTCTGGATGGTTAGGGAGACAGATACAGGAAGAAGTGCTGAAGTGAAGAGGTGTGTATTTAGGTCCAATGGGAGGTATGATAGGAGTGTGAGGCAGCCGGGAAGTCTTGGATTTTGACAGATGTTAAGTGCAACAGGTCGGAGTGAATGAAAGTGTGTAATAGTGAGAGAAGCAGAGAGGTCTGCACCAGGTTGCTGTCAGTGCTGTGTTCAATTATATTATTTCATGCCCACTCTTGTTTGATTAGATTTAAACAGCTCAGGGCATAGACTAGCTGCTAATCTGAATGATCCCATCAAGACCCTTTTTTATATGAAATATGAAGATCAGAAGAATAAGCATTATTTTTGTGTGGTTTTTTTGCATTGCCCTTCAACATATGCAAGTAAAAAAAAATCTTAAGAACATTTTCCCACACTTTCTTTTCCAGTAATCCACTGGTACTACTTTGGTGCATGTGCAGTCAATACTGCTAGTATTAGTAAGGTTCTTATTTTGTTTTCCCCCTTTTCTATGTTAATTTTTAGTATAGAATCATATTATCCTGCAATGCCTAAATTTTTTGCTGATAATATACCATGGAAGTCAGCAAATATATACCGGCTCACACAAGTTCAGAATCGGTTCTCTTCATCTGTTCTTTTGGCCTATGTTGAGCCAACACGTTACAAAAAATTAAGTGGAACAAGTTCAGTCCACTCAGTTTAGAAAATAGTTCTTATGGTGTTTTTTAAAAAGTGATCTTTTTTTTTTTAGTTGAAGCTTTTGGGGTTTTATTTTCTGTTTCATCATTTGGTAGGGTTTTAGTAAATATAAGTTCATTATGTCATGGCAATTTTAAATTAGATGACATTTCTCAAGTTCTTATAATGCTATCACCTCAAATGAATCTACAGG